GCCCTGGGTGGGCAGGAGGAATTGGAGGTGATGAAGCAAACAGAAAGGGATAGAATTACCGTGGGCCCATTTTCTCCTCTTGTCTAGTTGAGGTGGGAGTTCGGCGGCCTGAGAAACTTCTCCCATTGACTCCAGAGGCACCCAGCAGAGCTTTGCAGAGCCCCAGCTGCTGGCAGCCACTTTCTCACCCTGGCCCAAGCTTTCATGGAGTGTCGCCGAGGTATTTCAGGAAGGGCCTAGGCTAGCTGGAGACACAAAGTCTAAGGGGACCCTGGTTGACAGAGATGGGCAAAGGTTGCTCGCTGTTGAAGGCTGGAGACCAGAAGCCTGAGGGGGGCATCTTCAGATTCCACACCCCCCGCCCCAGGCATCCAGAAGTGATGACAAGTCTGCCACTGCCTCCGGAACAGCTGTGAAAGGTTGCTCGCTGTTGAAGGCTGGAGACCAGAAGCCTGAGGGGGGCATCTTCAGATTCCGCACCCCCCGCCCCAGGCATCCAGAAGTGATGACAAGTCTGCCACTGCCTCCGGAACAGCTGTGATCAAGTCCCTTCTCCACCGTCCCGAAAACCAAAGCACTCTGAAAGCTTCTGGAGCTTTTAAGTTTGTGGGAAACTCAATGGATAGCAAAACCTGTCCAGAGCTGATGTAAGCTATTTATAGGCTTTGTTTACCACATTTAGTGTGAATATTCATATGTTTCACTGAAGGAATATTAATGTTTAATTACAGGGCTCTGCCCCTGGTCCCTGCTGGGGTGTTATGTAATAAATGGTGTGTGCACTATGTTACCTTTCTAAAATATGAAGGGAAAAAAACCCTCAATTTCTAAGCACATTTGGCCCCTGGGGATGTCAGTGAGTGGCTGTGGACCTGGGTGGTGCAGAGCTGTTGCAAGCTCTCTCAATGTGCCTGGCCTGTGACCAAGGCTTCCTGTGCGTTTTCTCATGTAATTCCCATGGTGACACTGGGAGGGAGTCCTCGTAGCTAACTTGAGTCAGATGTGGGGCGTGACCTTGGGCCTACTGAGTTGGGCACCTGTGATTTTATCCACGCCTCAGTTTCCCCCATGGGCATCCCTCCCAAGCCACAGCAGCTCTGTGCAGACCCACACCTGTGGCTCCTCAGAAAGGGGCCTTAGTGCAAGTCTCTGGCTACAGATGCCCTGCAGTCTCTGGGGTCTGCCTCCTGCTGCTCGTAAAGGGCCCTTCCTCCTCGTCATGTCAGGCCTCTGCTCCACACCAAGCATCAGGCAGGGGCAGGATGGCTCTGCTCCTGCGCCAGCCCTCTGGTGGACCTCAAGCATCCCTGAGGCCAAGTCCAGACCCATAGATGCTGACTCAGCCCCTCTGGGTCCATGGTCTCAGGAGCTCCTGGCCTGAGGCCCTCAGAGACCAAACCCTTTTGTCCCCTCCTGGGCTGAGCCACTGAGCGGTCATTTATACATTACCCTCACCTGCACACATGCACACACGTTCACTCTCACTCACTCTCGCACACTTGTGCTCACACACCTACTCTCACACTCATCCTCACACACTTACTCTCATGCACCCTCACTCACATGCTGATTCACACACACACACACCCTTGTGCACACTCACTAGCACACCCTTACTCTCATACGGTCACTCATTCTCCTGCTCACATGCCCTCACACACCCTCTCACACTCACGCTTGCTCTCACACACTCACAGAATCACTGACTCTCACCAAACCCCTGTAGTGCACAGCCAGGTCTCTGAAGAACCTGGTTCGTCTATAAAATGGGAAAAATCATTTCTGTCTAATGATAGCTACCACTTTGGAGGCAGTATGTCAAACCTTTAATGTGCATCGTCTCGTCTATTCCTCAGAGTAAACTTTAATGTAGTTATTATCACCATCCCCACTTACAAATAAGGAAACTGAGGTACAGGGATGCTAAGCAAATTGCCAAAAGTCTAGAACATAGGAGAAGAATCCAGGTAGAACTGAGATTGGAACTCAGGCTTATTGGCTATATACCCATGCTGTCCCCCTTCAGCCCCTGTCTCTTCCCTGGGCCAGCCAGCCAGCCAAGCTCAGGGGTTCTGTCCCCAAGTCCACTCTTTCCCAAGCTCACCTTCCCCAATTCCTTCAACTGCTCTTCTCCCTATGTGTCCTGCCCTGAGGACAGAATATGGCCCCTTCCTAAATGCACTGGGTCATGCATTAACAAGAAATAAGCTAAGGGTGAGGGTGGAGGGGAGAGCTCTGCCTCAGTGGTCACTTGGAAGGGCTTGAGGCTCTGGCCACCAGTAGCTCTCCCCCACTTCCCAAGAATGATGCTTCATAGTGATGAACAAGCTTCAGAAGGCCACCAACCTCATGAAACTGCACGTGGCACATTGTGTGCTGCAGATGTGTGACTTCCTGAGTGGAATGTTCTTAGCCTCCATCTAATTCTCGGAGGGGCCAGTAACCCAAAAGAGGGCCACTGCCTTTTGGGGCTCCCCAGTACCAGGACTAGGGGCTTCCCAGGGCTGCCTAAATCCCTCCTCACACTCCAGACAAAACAGCTCCTTATCTCTGTCAGCCCAGCTTCCAACCCCTTCCTCAGCCTGGATTTAGAGACCTACTCAGTGACCAAGACCATTTCATCTGAGTCCCAGATCAGGTCCTGCAATTCAGCAGAAAATGTAGGGGCAGCTCCTGGAAAGACACTCTAGGTTGAGCATCAATGTTGAAATATTGGCAATCCCAGAATCTCCTTTTTGATGTTGCAGGAGTGTGGTGCAGAGTGTGAAATCCAACTGATGAGGATCATCCCAGCCTCACAGTAGCATGTCTTCCCTAGTTTCTAAGGCCTCAGTTGGCCATCTTCATAAGCCTCAGAGTCTCTTCTCACAACTGAAAACATCTGAGTGCACCCCCAAACAGGAATCTCACCTGCTTGAGGTCTTGCAGCACCCAACCTATTCACCTCTGGCCCCACCTGCATGTGACAGGTGCCATGAGACATCCCCAGAGGTCAGAACCTGTACCTTGGTCCACTGTCCACCAGCCCTCCCTTTCCTCCTCTCTCCAGGGGTGGCCACATACACGGACAAGTTGTTCAAGTTCCGCAATAACCGGTGGGAAGACGTCCTGAGTGACGAGGTCAACGTGGCCCGCGGCGTGGCCAGCCTCTTTGCCGGACGCTCTGTGGCCTGTGTGGACAGGAAGGTGAGTGCACAGTCGTGTATGGTGGTCTGGAGGAACCAGGGGAAGAGCCACCAGGTAGACATCCCTTGACAGTGGTAGCTCTCAAGGGTAGAGCCCAAGGCTGCAGCACCTTGGAAGCTCCCCGTCTTAAACAGAGTGCATGCTAAGTACTAACAATAAGACTCGCAGGATGAGTTAGAATACACCGTTCACATCCCCCACCCCATATGGCCCTCCCAGCAACCAGTGAAGAAGGTGGTCAGGGGTTGTCATCACTGTGTCCACTGGACATCGAGGGGACTGAGGCCCAGCTTGGAGCAGTGACTTGCCTGGGGACCCAAAATGGATTAATAGTATATCTAGGACATGAACCAAAATCCTCTACTCTAAATCCTGTGATCTTCCTTTCATTCATTTATTCAGCTAATGCTTATTAAATGCCTCCTGTGTGCCAGTCATTGAGCCATGGGGCCCCCCACAGATATTTATGGAGTAAATGACATCAGGACAGGGCTCCACAGGTGGGTGAGTGGAGGGCTGCCTGAGTGTGCAAGTACTTTCGTTAATCAATAGCTCCGTCAATGTTTTTGTGCCCTGCTAGTGCACCCTACGCAGAGGTGCCCAGTCCAAAGCCAATGGGGAAGAAAGGCCGTGCGGGGAGGGGAAGGGGCAGGAGCAGCCGCAGCCATCTGCCCTGCATAGGAGGGTGGCCGCCCGCCTGGGCTTGGGTCCCAGCAGGCCCAGCCAGGACCGGAGACTTGCTTTGGAGGAAGGTGATTTATCCCTCCTGTCACCTGCTCCCCTGCCGCCCACCTCCTTGGCTTTATAAACAGTTATCACTAAATCAGGGACCCAGATGCTGCCCAGCTTCCACGGGAGCATCTCTGGCCCCCATTCTGGGCACAGGGGCAAAGGGATCGTCTCGCTTTGGGATTGAGATGGCACCGTGGGGATTGGGGATTCAGCGTGAATCTTCACAGCAGGGGCCTCCAGGCCTTGGGAGAAGGCAGGTGCCAGGTATAAATATTTATTTCTTAACAAGCTGGTGCTGGGAAGAGAAGTCAAGCTGGGCTGTGAAGCCACATTTAGACCTGACCTGAATCTGTGCCACCTGGACTCCTGCCTCGCAGGAGGGAACAGGGAGGCAGCTCTATGAACAGTCCCAGAGACTGGGGAGGGTCTGGGGGAGTACCAGGCCTGGTCATGGCTGGGATCCTCTTCCCATCTCCTGGCTTCCTGTGTCACTTGTTCGTTGAGACCAAGGCTTCCGACGCTCAGCTAAAGTGGGAAACTTCACCAAGAACTGGAGGGAGGGGCATGAAGGGTAATCAGAGAGATGTACACTTTGTCCTAACAAGGTCATCTGCACACCCACACACTTAACCACAGGACAAAGGCACCATGTGAAATGCAAAAGAAAAACCAAAAAATAAAAAAGATGTCCTGGCACTTAGCCCCTGACTTCAGACTCCCAAGCCTCAAGGAACTAGAGAGAACCTCTACAATCAATCTGCCACCAGGAGAGGGGTTGCTTTCTGAGCCCAGCCCCCACATTGGCCATCCCTGGGGCCTGAGATCTGTGATGGGAGGCGTGGAGAGAGAGGACGCAGCAGCGTAGTGTAGGAAGACAGAGGTGCAAGAGCTCTAGCTTATTAAGCTAACAACCTGCCAAGCCCTATGCTAAGTGGCTTGTGTGTGTGTCCTCTTACTGAATCCGTATAATAAGCCTGTAAGGTAGATGCTGTCATTATCCCATTTTACAGATATGGAAACTACGGCTTTGAGCAATTAAGCAACTTGAACTTGTCACACAGTAAGTGGCAGGCAAAGCCAGGAATTGAGTCCTGACTGCCTGAAAATGAAGCAGACACCTTTTCACCCTTCAGCTACCCTGCCTCAGGGAAATGACATCAAATATAAGTTTCTAACCACAGGTTCTATTACAGCGTTGACCCTTGGCAGCCCTCCTTAGCCCCACAGTCCCTAACCTGGGACCTTTTCATCTATCTACCTGGTCAGTGGTTCTCAAAGTGTGGGTCCCAGACCAGCAGCATCAGCACTGTTAGAAATGAAACTTCTCAGCGCCCACCCACTCCACCCTCCAGACCTACTGAATCAGAAACTCTGGGGGTGAGGTCCAGCAATCTGGGGTTCAACCAGCACGGCAGGTGATTCTGATGCCTGCTCTGGTTTGAGAGCCATTGCACCAGGTAAATGTCTCAGCCCTCGCCACGTGCTCCCCTCCCCCTCCACCCCTCATTCATTCTCTGCCCCAAACCTGGAACACCCGCCTGTCCTTTATCTTCAGCCGCCTCATCACTCACCCACCTTTCTAGAGCCAGCTCAAAGCCGATCTCTTACAAGAAACGTTCCCTGATCGATAATGATTATGCCTCATGTTTATATAGCATTTTTATCTTTTCAAAGACCTTTCACATAAGTTGTCTCATTTCATCTTCCCCACAACACTGCCAGGAAGCAGGGAGGATATGATGCCCGTTAACACGAGAGGTGAGGCAACCTGGAGGCAGTGAGGGATTTGCCCAAGGACATACAGCCAGTTGAGGGCAGAGCGTGGACTAGGACTCAGGCTAATCGCCCAAGACCAGTGATTCTCAAAGCGCAGTTCCCAGACCGGTCCCTGGCAACTTGTTAGAAATGCAAATTCTACATCACCTGGGAACTTGTTAGAAATGCAAATTCTCAGCACCCACCCCCGACCTCTTGAATCAGAAACTCAGTGTGAGCCCAGCAACTGTGGTTGATCAAGCCCTCCTGGTGATTCTGATGTAGGCTGAAGCATGAGAACCACTGCCGGGACCAAAAGCTGCAGAAACATCTTCCTTCCCCTGGAATCATCTTACCCTCCCAAATTATTGTAGTCAAGTTCACATGTGAATTTCTAATCTCCTACAACTGTAACACATCTATGCTTATCAGTTTTATCACCCCAATAAATTGAAGTAAGGAACTAGGTGTAACTGAATTTTATAAACATCCTAATTTCTAGCAGAGTGCATTTCAGTGCACTTGGGCCTAATTGCCATTTGTTGAGGACATTGCCAGCGCTGGTAGGGTCAGGAACGGTTTGTGATGGCACACTTTCTTCTTTGGCTCCCTTCATTCCCTCTTCATCCAATCATTCCACACACATTCACCAAGCTCCTGGGATGGGTGAGAACCTTCCAAAGTTCTCCCCTAATCAAGAAGCCGTGCTGTAAAGCAGTGCACGGCAAACCTTAGTTCCGCATCGGAATCATGTGCGGGTCTTGTTAAAATGCAGATTCTGGGCCGGCCCCGTGGCGTACTCGGGAGAGTGTGGCGCTTGGGAGCGCAGCGGCGCCCCTGCCACGGGTTCGGATCCTATATAGGGATGACCAGTGCGCTCGCTGGCTGAGCGCGGTGCAGGCGACACCACACCAAGGGTTGCGATCCCCTTACCGGTCACAAAAAAAAAAAAAAAAGAAAAAATGCAGATTCTGATTCAGCAGGTCTGGGGTGGAGCTGAGAGTCTATATTTCTGACATGCTTCCAGATGTCACCAATGCTGCTGGTCTGGGGACCACTTTGAGTAATGAGATTTGTAAAGCATAGATTCCCAGGTAGCCAGGTAGAGACTCAGATAACATCATTCGCTTTCTCTTCTGTCTGGTAGGCTCCCCACCCCCACCCCCCACTTCACCTGGCTGAGACTTCTCTTAGAAAACCTTTTCTGGACTAGTTAGGTGCCCTTCCTCTGGGTCAGGAGCTCTTCCTGCACACCCAGGAAATCCTGTCCACACCCTCTGCCGTATCCCACATGATTGCCAATGCATCTGTGTGCCCCAGGAGACCCTAAGCCCCTTCCTTGGCCTCACCCACCAGTTAAACAGACACGAGTGGCTCTTAGTCAGCTTCCCTGAAGAAAATGGTCCCTAAGAAGGTGTAGTCAGTGACCAGTTAGTTGGGATGAGGGTTCTGCTCGTGTGCCACTGGATAAGAAATAGAAGCAAGCAAAGAGGGCCAAGAAGAGGGGGCGGCAGAGCACAGCCTCATTGCCTTGAGCTCAACTATTTCTCCTGTGTCCATTTATGTTTACGGTTTGCCTTTCAAACTAGACTGTAAACAACCTAAGGACAGGGACTTTGTCCCAAGTACACTTATAGGAGAGCACCTTGCATGTCATGAAATATTTACTGTCTGATTAATTGGAGGGAAGGGATGAAAGGATAAGTGGAAAGCTGGAAAACCTGTCTAGAAATTGTGTGGATCTCTTGGAAGAAGGAGGCAACCATTGAAGAAATAACATCATTATAATAACAGGCAGAAAAGAATTTTTCATCAGCAGTGTTTTGGACTAGAGAAGAAAATGACTACAGCAAAGAGGAACTGTTGCCCAGGGCTTCTCCTGGATGCAAAGGAAAAAGAAATATTCGAGACAGAAGCAATGTAATATTTCTTTCTGATAATACGGAGAGAAGAAGGGAGTGGAAGAGGAAAGGAGGACCCCTGCAAATCTTTGCTTCTTGTGCTACCAAAATAGAGGAATGAAGAGGCATAGGGTGGGAAGGGGAGAGGGAGACGGCGCAGGAATTTGCTTGTCATCTTGGCTGGAGTGAGCTTGAACGGGAGAGAGAGAGACTGAGAATAATGGGAATTGGTAGATCAATCAATCAGCAAATATTTATTGAGCAGCTACCCTGGCTGGCAGCTGGAGAGAGCTCAGCTGGAGGGAGGCACATTAGAAAATTGTCTATAAAAAGGTGGTTGTCGGGGAAAGGGAGGGATGTGTTCCTGTGGAACAGGATAGAAAGAGAAGCAGCACTGCTTTGTCTATGACTGGGCAGGGGTGGGGGGCATCATTCACATGGTAGTCTTTGTGAACTGCCCCTCTGGAGTTGTGCTGTGCACAGCCTGCAGGGCCGTTCATGACAGACCTGGGGAGAAGAACCCAACCCCATGAAAGAGCTATGGTCCGGTGGGCAGGCGGGGTGGTGGAGGATTTCTGGGGAAAGACTGGGATGAGCCAAGATGGGCCTGCTCACCTGCCTCCTTCCCTTCCTGCAGGGCTCTGGACGCTACTCCATCTACATCGCCAATTATGCCTATGGCAATGTGGGCCCTGATGCCCTCATTGAAATGGACCCCGAGGCCAGCGACCTCTCCCGGGGCATTCTGGCACTCAGAGATGTGGCTGCTGAAGCTGGGGTCAGCAAATACACAGGTAGGCAGAGTGACACAGGAGGCTGGGGCCTGGGGCTGGGATCTAGGGCCCCACAAGGCTGAGTCCAACTCCAACTCATCAACGACCACAGGAAGGAGGTGGACCTGTGTCCCTGGGGAGGGGAGGATGAAGGCTTCGTTCATCTGCCACCACAAAAGGCTCCTCTAGCACTGCCTCTCCAAGGGTTGGGGACATGCCTGGCAGGTGTGGGTTTTTGGGGTGACCAGTGGGGGACACTGGGCAGAGGGGCTTGCTGGAACGTGGGGTGAGAGCCCCACCACATCCTCTCACTGGGACCTCCTGCCCCATTCCCTTCTGCAACCCCAGTGATGGGCGAACACGTTCTGTAGGAGAAAACTGACAAATCACAAAAGCCAAGATTTAAAGCATTCTTTATTGCCAAACAGCAGATGAAATTATTTACTTACACATAAGCGGCCAGGAATTGGCTGCTAAATCCCTAAGCTTCAGCTGGGTCCTGACTCGGATAACTGAGCTCAAAGAATTGTGTTCTTGTTCCAAAACCTCTCCAGCACTTTTTTTTGAAGCCATGCTCCCCCCTCAGCTTTCTGGATGGGGGACCTATTGTCAGAGTCTCTGACAGGGAGATCTTTCTAGGGAAGGCTGTTTTTCTAATTCCAGCACGGCTGCTGACTAAACTCTGATAATCTGCCAATAGACTGCTGATGGCAGAGCTGTCTGGTTCCAGTTCTGGGTGCCAAAAATCAGGGAGCCAGAGCCGAGCACACAACAACCTCTCACGCGAACTTCAGCCTCACTCACACCCAACCTGCACGCTGGATGCAGAAATTCTCTTGTTGGTTGGCCTTCCCAATATATCCATCCCAACATGCACAACAGAGACTTCCAGAGTGGTAGCCTGCCTGAATCTGAATCCTGGGGCTGGAAGGATACTTGAAGGGTCATTTGGGGCATCCCCCTACCTCCATACACCTGGGTGGTGGCATAATCCCAAAGTCCTACCCCAAAAAGGGTTGTCACTGCCTCCCCCGAGCTTATGATGCCTTTCTCTAGCCAACTTTCCACCTCAGTGAAAGGGGGAGATTAATGTTGACCTGTCTGACAAAGTTTGTGGGAACAAATGACTAGACAATAAAATAGTTTGCACAGCTCAGCCCCATCAAAGTGCCTAAGAGCTCCGTGTGTGAATGTACCACGGAAGGGCTGAGTGTCGGTAATAAACCATGTTTCCCGGGAAAAGGAATAAACATTCAGGCGCTTCAGCCTAGATTTGTACAGTCAATTTTTCTGAATAGTTCCCAGTTCTGTGCACCAGGCTGGCTAGGCAATTAAGTGCCTTGATCTTGCAGAAGAGGGTGGGCCGGGGATGAAGCACTTGAAAATGATGAGTGGGGGGGGGGGGGCAAGGACTGGCAGGGCGGGCCTTGCGCAAAAAAAAAAAAAC